CTCAATTAATGGGAATGATTTCCTTTTCCTTCTCACTTCCTCGGGGTTGTGCAATAATGCGGCTGATATGTCTGAGTCTCTCCTTCTCTGTCTGTCTCTCTCTTATCTCTCATTTGAACTTTTTAAGTATGTTGTTTGAGTAAATTGTTAATGTATAGAGTGATGGGACAGGATGGATAGAGAGTTCTTGGACTACAGGAAAATGGGAAACCATTTGAATCAGTTTATGGGAAGCAGTTCTAGCATAGGTGCCAAAAGGGTCAGAAACGTTTGCGTTGCCTTTCGCGCCGCTTCTGAGCACAACAACCGTGCTGGGTATGCATGCCTCTTCCTTTCTACCTCTACTTTTGTGCTTCCACACCCCTCACTCTTTTTTTATGTAGTAGTACTACCATATATATTTTTTATGGCAAAATATTTATACAGTAATGGCATTAACGGTCCAGGATTTTTTTCTCCAAAGGATTCACTTAAAATATGTAAAAAATTATCAACGAATATATTGATTGTCAAAACAAAAATGTTTAGAGAAATATTTAGGAGTGCCTTTTCCTTTTTTTCTGTTTTTCAATCTTTGAAGATGTCCATAAATACCCTAGTTCAACGTATAGATCCGCCTTGGTATAGTACTATGTCACATACTAATTTCTATAAGATGATAATTCACACCAAAGTTTCAAGTTTACTTTTGGTTTCATTATTTTATTTTTAATCAGAAAACAAGCCCATTGCCCACATTAAGACAATCCTATATCTGCATATGGATAAAGCCTGCTAAACAGATGTGTTGGCATTTCAAATGCAGGTGCCTGACAGCTTTGGAGCTCCTAGAACATGAGTATTGTTTCCTCAAGAATAAATTGCATGAACTTTTCCAGGTACATTTTCATTGATTTTCTGCATTTCTTTTCCCTCTATAAAACCTAGAAGAAAAGGCAATTTATCAATATTAAGTACTAAAAATTATCACTATAATATTCTGTGATAATGATTCAGATACAGCAGCAGAGAGTACTAGCGACTGGAGTTAGATACCCAATGTAGAACTAAAGCCAAAAAATTTAATGCCATAACATGGGGGAGTTCTTGGGCACCTTTCTTGTTACAGTTTTTTGCTAAAACCAAAGCAAAACCCGAAAGCAGACTTTGTACTATTTGTAGAGGAAAATTGGAAAAGGGGTTGTTGCCACTGCAGCCGGTGTCTTTAATGTTGAGTCATTCATTCTTTTCTTTTTCTTAAGTGTGCTGCTTCGGTTGTAACTTTTGAATGCAAATGAATTGTAGTGGAAAGTTGACATCTGATATTCTGCTATCTGATTTGAAAAATCTCTCAACTTTAATGCCGGATTCAGTGATCTGTCGTTATTATACTGCTATGAATTGTCAAAATGATAACTATATAACTAGCCTCAGCTGCAGGCATCATGATCTGCTTTGAACTGTTTCGACGTCTCAATCAATTGAGGACATCCTCGTCTGGTGGAATTTTCGTAGTTGACCATAAGAACATGTCGTCCAAATTGAAATATGCCAAATTGAAAACAAAAAAAAAAAAAAAAAGGGAAGCCAACTTCAAGTGCTTATGGTCGATGAAACCGAGTAGATTATTCGACCACTGAGGTTATCAAGTTGCCGACTGCCCTTTGCCATTTCTTTTCACCTTGAGGATCAAAATTAGAAAACATGGCAATCTAAAATCTAAAATCTGGCCATTGACTCACTTGCTGGCGATATTCAAATAGAATCGGACAAGTAACCCTGAAAATTTGTAATTAAAAGAATTCATAGCTTAATTCAATTAGTTTATACAATCACCTTTAAAAAAATAATGTTCAATAAATCTAAGATTTAAATCTTAACATATATAATTTCTTCTTTTATTTTCAGATTACAAGCTCTTTTAAATAAAATAAATAAATAAAAAAAAGAGTGCTTTGAGACTGGTTTACAAAATTAAAAATGCTTTTTAATCGGAGGTTTTTAGTCCATTAACAAGCTTTTGAAGTCTCAATTAATTACATTACATGTCAATGTGAGTAATTGGACAGATTTTTTAATTCAAAATATCTTATGAAATAGCAGGTCTCTCACAAGACTTCTGTCAAGAGCAAACTGCAATTACAAGTAAAGAATAAAACAAGTCTTCCTTCTAAATGGTAAGGGACAATTCTTGTTAATTGAAGAAGTTTGGGACTGTTTTCAGAACAACAATCAATAAGTAGGCATCCAAATTGATCCAGCATCAGCAATTGAACTCATTTGGAGCCACGGGTGGTGGGTAATAGGAGCTAGAGAGGACCAAGTTTTAAAAATCCCTTTATATATATATGTATATGTATAATATTTATATTAAATACATTTAAATTGAGTCTTAATTCAAAAAAGTTTTTTTTTTTTTTTGTGATTTCATTACTTAACTCTATATGTTGAAATTTAATATATATTTAAATCACATTGATATTTGCTCATTTATTATATCCAATAATTATTATTTACAAATTCTCGAAATCAAAAGACTTATTATTATAAGTATTAAACTACAATCACGTGAACTTGTCAAAAGTCAAATTAATTTTTTTAGCTTTTTCAATGAGACTTTAAGTGTGTATTTGGTTTATGAAAATAAAATTATTTTTCATTTTCATTTTCATTTTCACGAAAAATAGAAAATGGATTAGTAAACTTATTTGGTTGAAAAAATAAAAATATTTTTTAGAAAATAAAAATGAAAACAGGGCAAAATGAGAAAACAAAACAAAAAAAATGTTTTGATTATTTTCAAAGAAAATAGAATGGAGGAAATGGAAAAGTTGAAAGCACGAAACTTTTAAAAATTTTATTTTATTTTGAGATAAATATTTAGGGAGCAGACTCGTAAAACCTAAGGATGCTTGCAAAAGTAACATGAAACCATCCAAATTCCCCAGGTTCGAATCGTGAGGTCTCAGTGCCTCACCACTTATATGGCTTGAAGTCCCCATTGGCTTTGAAATTCCCACCATGAAAGCATCCAAAACAAATTAGCATTTTTTGTGAGTCCATTTTTTATATATATAAAAGTTGAGTTTGTCTAAAAAGTTAGATGATATTTTATCATTATATTATGAAATTTATGTTTATTGAATGAGTAATAAAATTTTTATATAAATTTTTATGTTTATTTTAATTGTAATTTGCTTTTATTATTTACTTATATTTTTTTAAACGATGCAATTTACTTAATTATTTAATTATTATATTTATATATTTTATTTTAAAAATGCACATAGTAAACACATTTTTATAATTTTCATTTTGTACCAAACATATTTTTTAAAATTCAAAAAAATAAAAAATGAAAACAAAAAATATTTTCATAAACCAATCGCAAATTAAGTTTCCAACCAAGTATCAAATGTGTTTTCCCTTTTTTTTTTTTTTTTTTGGTACAAGTGACAAAAGGCTAGGAGATTTAGGAAAAGAAAAATTGCAAATTTTAAGAATTGCATTCTAATTTAGCAAGAATTAATCTCCTTGAAAAGCTAGCTAAAAAATTAATTTGGACTAAGTTCTACATTCTTTTTTCTTTTTAACTTATTTGAACTTTTCCGATCTCCCTATCTTTTTTCATTTTTATTTTTTTACTTTAGATGTCTATATTGTTGTAATTTTCCAACCAAAAAAAATCATATTGGAATTACTTTACCAAAGAATAGAAAAACACCATAATTTTTAATCTCAAATTTTGATCATCTTTATTTAAAAATATATTTAGTTTTCTTGGTTTGATAAAATATTTAATGATTGATTTATTCGTATCTCTTTTTATTTTAATTTTAAATTACCAAAAAAATTTTATAGTTCATTGATAGATTGTGTAATTAGTAATTCTACCATTAATTGTAAATCTTATTATTTTTAAAATTATAATGTTGTCACAGTAATAATTTTGTTTATAATTTTATAAGCACGTTATGTTTTTATTAGTATATTATTTGCACCTATATTAATAAGTATGATAGAATTTTGTTTTTGTGAAAAATAAAATAAAATATTTTATATATTATTAATTGATCCTCAAAAATTAAATATTAAGATCTGATATTTTTTAGAGCTCATGCAAATTCCAAATGTAATTCCTACAAATTGAGGTCCACGTAATTTAAAAAAAATATAGTTTGTTGGACACCATTTTTATATCAACTTAAAAAAAAGTAAAACAAACATTAGAAACCCCATGTTTGACCTTATTTTTTAAAAAAAATTATACAAGTATATGGTGCATTGCTGAAAATATTAGAAATGAATTGGTTACATTGAATATTGATTGCACAAGAAGTAAAAATGAATTGGTTATCTTGAATACATATTGCGACAATGATTTGTGTGACACAAGAAACCAGAGTTGGTTAATCTTTGACCATTTACAAGCCTAAACTCTGCAGTAGAACCACAGCCCAAGCCGTAAAAACCAATGAGTAAGACGATCTTAACCAACCTTGAGCTTCAATATCCTGCAAGAAAAACAATGTTGGGAAAATCTATTGATCATAAAACTGATTTAATAAGCCCACACTAGAAATGAAAAATTACTGTCAGTTGAAAATGCTAATATTTGAATCTTATACTTGCTGATGTTACTTTTTAAATATAACTTATATAAATCAGTTGAACTAAATCATAAGTTTATGGATTAATTACTAGTTGTCAAAGCTGAGATATATAAAACTTACGCTTAAATAGAAAAAAATCCAATAATTAAATAATAATCCGAGCTCATATCGTTTTATTGCAATCAATTGAGATTTCAAATATTTGTTATTATCCAATTTAACTCTTAAACATATATTTTCATCTAATTGAATCATTAAACATCTATTTTTATCCAATAATTGAGCTCTTGATTAGATGAAAATAAATGTTGGTGGTTAACTATTTTTGTCTAATAAGAGTTCAATTGATAAAAATAAATGTTTAAAAACTTAATTTATTGTAATAAAACAATAGGAACTTGTATGATTATTTAATTTTAGTTGTGTTTTTTAGTCATGCCGGCAACTTAAATGATCATTTTTCACTTTATTAATGGCTTCCTCGCACTGTTTTAAATTTATAATACATATTGCTACAAAAGATTCAAGTTATAATTCACATTTGATTGATAAATTTGATAATGAAAAGGCAAAACATAAATCTGCACGAAATCATGATTGATGAAATTGGAATATGAGATGGGCAATCCAGAAAACCATACCTTATATGATAGTAGTGAAGGGGCTGCTGCAGAAGGTACAAGTCCAGTGAATCCCATATCATAGGCTATGCTTCCATCAGGCTTAAACAATCCAAAGTTTCTCTCAGAAGTTGGCCCAGGCTTCAAATTTTCATTGAACAATGCAAAAACGTAAGCCTTCACAACCATCTTTGGCCTGAATGGGGTTCCCTTCTTTTTAGCTAGCAGTTTGCGCAAATTCCGATTGTAAGTCCTTGCATTCTTCACTGTTGCACCTGCTTCATCTGCATCCCCACGAGAAGCCCACCCAGTTTCAGAAACAATCACTTCCATCTTGGGAAAACCAGCTTTTTCCAATGCTACATAAGCTGCGTCAACCTGAGCTTCAAACATGTTATCATAATGAATCTTGGTCTTTGCATCATAAATTCCAGGACTATCTTTGAATAGAGCATAGTTAATGTCAATATGCTCAGGATCATTCTTATAGGCAAGAAATGGATATGCATTTATATAAAATGGAGAACCAATCATGGAGAAAAACTGCAGAAGTGGGCTCATGTATGGAAGAACATCAGGTTTGAAGATGCATGCGGATGGTGGGTAGGAATTGGCAAATACAGCCTCTGAATGTGGACTTGAAACCTGAACTGTATCCTTTAAACCCAACCTGTTAAGAGCACTATAAACATTCCTCGCTGCAGGCAATAAAACCTCCCAAAGTTCCAAATCAGCAGCACCTAATATCTCATTCCCCACTGCTATTCCTCGAATACGAGTTCCAGGAAGGAATGGCTGAACATTTTCTTTTATCCAATTCATGGCACGATCCTCCCCTATACTTATGTCGTTCAAAAACTCATTGGGAAGTCCAACTATAATTTCTATACCAGACCCTTTAAAGGCCCGGAGAACTTCATGATTGGCATCATAGATTCGAATGTGATTTATCTTTGCAGCTTTTAGAAGCGTCACCACACTTTCGGGTGATGGTAGATTGTTTGCTATTTGGCCATAATTTACTCCATAGGTCCATGTGACTGAATTTGCTGCTGAAACTGCAGGACATGACAGAACACGAGTATAAGAATTTCATAAAGATAACTCAGCAAAATTATCCATTTGAGACACGAATTCACTGATCTTGCTACTTGAAGAGAAAAACTCTAGCCTATTTTCTTCTCCAAGTTTTATTTGTGTGATTTACATACATATTTTTTATACAAAGAGGCTATAGTATGAGAATAAGAGAACAAGTTACAAATGATAGGATTCGAACTTCAAACTTACTGAATGTTATATTGTAAAAGTCGTTATAAGAAACTGAACTAAGTTTCCGGTTCATTATATATTTTTTAGAAAGGCTACTTCTCTTGGACGAAAGAAGTATGGATACCAAGAGTAGATATCAGCAAAGCAAAAGAGGAGAGATGAGGATAATGCCATCAGAAATCAGGAAGAAGCAAGCACAAAATGAGCCTCTATCAAGCCTAAAAGTTACTAAAATATAATTGCCATTTGACAATTATGAAAAACACACTTCACCAACAATCCATGTGCATTACATATATTTTCGAAAAAAACAAAAAAAAAAAAATGATTGTGACAATATGAGAAGTCCAAAGAAAATCAAAGTAAAAGACACAATCAATGCCCAATACAACCCTTGAAAGCCAGAGTAATTCATCAACTCAGCATGCAGCCTAACTTATAATGAAAAAGAGATTAAAATACACTTTCCAATCAGACAATGGAATAAATCAAAGCAACCATATTGCTCAATTTAATAGTATTCAACATTAATTCATTTTTTTCTGTGACTATATTTGATACTTAACAGCAATTGTCTTACATATGCAATAGGTATTAAAAAAAAGATTTAAAAGGAAAGGTACGTACCAGGAGAGCATATGACAGAGAAGATGAGGAAGAGCCAGAGACAGAGAGAAGAGCCCATATGAGATGTAGGATGATAATCAAAGAAAGTGCATTCCATTTGTAGAAAAGAGGTGGGGATGTTCCAGTCTTTTGTGATATAAAAGATGAAGCAAAAAGAATGCAATACTTGTTCTGCAGGCATGCCATAGACCACCCAAGAAAAGATTCTTAACCTTAGTTTAAAGATGATGTGCCAAAAAGACCTGAAAAATGAAGAAGAAGAAGATTCTTAACCTTAACCCTAAGATCAAAAAAACAGAAATATTCTTACTTTACTCTCAAAGTATGCCTTTTTTGCAGCTTTCTATTCTTGGGGTTTGTCTGTTTTAAAAACAATGTCTTTTCTCTTTAGAGACACTGTTGCTCTTAAAAACACGAGCTCTAAATCATGCAGATGGATAGTTGAATATTTGTGTATACCTTTCTTGGTAGGAGAAGTGAATCATAGTTGATGATGGAAATAAGTTTAGCTTTTGCTTGTAGCTTTTGCATTATAGAGGAGGTGGCATGATTAATAAGTTGCTTATGCTTGGAGACGAAATAGTTTTATAGGTGGCAGGACCCATTAGGCAATGACATCCTAGTGATCATTAGAACAATTCTTATCATAAGGGAAACCTGTGAATAGAGCAAAATGTAATTTAGAAAAAAAAAAAAACGCCCCCCAAATCATCATGCTTTGAGTTGGAGGATTCAAAGCTGAATGTTAAACAAGTGCGGAAGACACGATTCCACGCACCACGAATGATTAAATGATTCCCTCAAGTCATGAGAGAGACAGACGATATCAACTTCTATACGCCGCCCAGCTTTTTCCGTTCTTCGTAATAATCATCATGATAAAATCTGCAAAACGAACATCGGCATATTGCCTAAACAACAATGTCAAGGCATACACCATGCAGTCAATCTATGACACATAAAATGTTGAGTCCAATTTGAAACATGAGCCACTAACAATAAGTTATGCGTTCCAAGTGCCATCAATCTAGGTTCTGCACAAAGTAACAAAAGCTGCAATGTTTGAAACCTACTTCTTACAGGGATACATACTGACTGCTTTCCCTACTTACAATCAAATCTAGCATCAACAGCATAATTGTTACAGTCATCCATGAAATCATAGAGGTTACACGGGCAAATACAAAAAGGATGGTACCAGAGGATAGCTAGGATATTAGATGTTACATTTAGCAGCTTACTGGAGAGGGTCCCGGCAGTTGTGGGGTATCAGTTTGCCCACTTGGTTCAACCTTACCATTTTCAATCAACCCCACATCGACTGCCGTGCCTTTGTCCTCTACCTGAACATTACACTTGCCAGCAACCTCCTGTAGACCTTGTTTCTCTTTGGCATCTCCCTCACACACAGGGATTGCTCCATTTGGATTCTCTTTCTCTACCCCCCTGTCAGCTTCCAACGTCACAGTTTCAGGGTTTTCTGATTGTTTCTCACATGTACAATTCACTTTCTCTGCCTGAGTTTGTGGCACCTTTTCAATAGGGGCTTCCTCTTCTTTTTCAGTTTGAGTTCCATCAACGCAACTAGCTTCTGCAGGTTTCTCTTGAACTTCCATTTGGGTTGGGGTTTCTTCAGCACCAGCAGCCTCTTCTTTTTTCTCATCCCCTGCAGTTTCAGCTAGCTTAACGTCTTTACCAGCTTCTTCTTGCCCAGCTTTCTCCATCTTGACATCACTTTCTTTCTCACCCTCAGCTTTTTCAGGAACAGCCTCTGTTTCCTTGTTTTCTTTCTTTGCACTCAATGATTTGCGGTTTCGCTTCTTCGGGGGTTCCTTTTCTGGCGTTGGAGTAGCCTTGGCCTTTTCACTGATCCTTGCTGATCTTCTAGGGGTCTCACCAGTACCCCAATCAAACTCCGTCATTGAAGGATTACCAGGGTGTGCTTTTAGATACAGCTCCAACTGTTTTCGGTTATTAATCTCCTCTCCAGTTGGTGCAATGAACATGATCTCAGTTTTCCTTGGAGAACTAACTTTCCTGGGAAAAAACTGTAGCAATGAACAGGAAAGACATGTTATACAATTAGCATTACAGCCATCAAATCAAATGAATAAGATAAGAAGCACAATAAATTGAACACTGAAATATGCAAATAAAAATGATCATAAGCCATCTGTGTGTTTTAAATCATATGAAGCAAGTTGAAGGCACAATTTTAGTACAAATGGTTATTGTCTGTCTACATGTCATCAAAGCCTATTTTGTTAAAGAAATGTCCTTGAAGGAGGCCCCAGATATATGTCCGGCCTGATCTCCTATCTGGGTGCACTACAAATTTATTACCCCATTTTAAATCACAGAATATGTCAAATCATCACCAATTTCGAATAGCTCTTCTTACTTTTCTAAACTTTCCCAGGGTCCTCCAAGGTTCTTGTCTAAACTCCTGCTCCTATAACACCTAAAACTAATTGCACTTAATGCTGTACTATTTATTTCCTAGATTTCTCAAAACTGCCCAGTAAGTCACCATTGCTTCCATTAGTATTGCATTCATGATCCTACTTGTAATGGCAGAATCCATTATTATAAAACTGCTCAATTGTCAGTTCATCTCTTGCACAATCAGCCGACAGAACCAACGATAGAAAAGTTTAATGAAGGAATTCTAATTTGCAGCAATAACTAATTTCAAACAAAATAAGATACAGAGACAGAGAAATATGCATCTTACTGGCTGCCAACCTAGCATAATCACCAGCAATAACTAATTTCAAACAAAATAGGACACAGAGACAGAGAAATATGCATCTTACTAGCTGCCAACCTAGCATAATCACCAGCTGTAGCAGTGGGCAAGGTCTCCCTAGTTCTGTTTCCTTTCTTCATTATTCTAATTTGGCCTCTTCCTTTTTCTCTACTTGTTTGGGTGACCATCCAAACTCTAATTGCAACAAGCAGAAGATATACAATAAACGTATAGATAAACTCTCATAGAGTACATATCAAAAAAATTTTTCACATGCGACTCTCAAAAGAAAAACAATTTCTCTGGCCTGCTGATAGAAGAAAACACTAAGCCCTCCAGTGACTTAAAAAACATATCCACCTTAACTCACTCTGCTAGTGTTTACTGAAAGAACCTTCCAATTCGCATATGGTCCTCCATTATAAATGACAATTAGCAGAAAAGCAAACACAACAGTTATAACATTAAACAATCACAAACCAGGGATCCACATATAAACAGTAAATGTGAAAATCACATAAACATGCATAAACCTTTGTCAACAATAATAGCAACTAACTATCAAAAAATTGAAATAAAATGAAAAACCACCAAAAAAACTTTTATATTCAAAAGAATAATTTCTCCAAAATCGTGTTGAAAACATCCAACTGTTTTAAAATCTATGATGAAAATATCCCTTAATCTTTGCAAGGGGTACATGCTAAATGGTTCAATGGACAAAATTGCAAAGGTAAATATGTAAAAAGCACAAGATACAAACATCATCATGAAGCAATTCATAAGTAGAGAACCATTAAATACAAAATAACAGAAAAGGGTAACTAGATCAGTGTCCACACAAACACATACATAGAAAAAAGGTGTAAAAAAATTACACCAGCTAAAATCCCTCACCGTGGCCAAAAGTAGAGATCACTGAATTACTAAACAGTAACTGTATTACATTACAATTTTAATGCTAATCAATTGCATTCAATATACTTAAAAACATGCAAAAAATGGAAATTCACATTTAACAGATCGGATATTAACAAACTATATGTTATAGCTAATAGCTTTGATTATGCATTCTGTGCACAGAGATGTGATTAAGCATTCTTGCTATCTGCATAGTAACAGAATCAATATTGATTGGATATCAACAAAATTGTAACTAAAACAACGATGGGCTCTGAAATGGCAGGAAAAAGCCCTCTTCTTGATTACACCATAAATTTACAATGAAAAGTAAATTTAAAGCTGAAAGAACAAGTGAAGGCCCCTGCTTGTTTATCATTCTGTAAATTTTTCTTAATGCTCAAAACTTTAAGTTTGTTCATAAATTTAAAGCTTGTTCATTCTGTAAATTTTTTACACCTTTATTATGAATAGCACTTTTAATCAATGAACTTTCAATTTCAAGAGACCATTAATACATGAAACGTGCATCAGGTTATAGAAAACACAACCAACCACTTGAAAGCCAGTTACAACCACAATCCTCTTTGAACAAACATGATTAAATGTGCAATTCATACAAAAAAGCTGTTTCACTATTTAAATTCAAGAATTCTAACCCATGGACAAGAAAATCATCACATTCTCAATGAGAACTCATAGCTATCTCTGGCACTCCACTATAATAGAAGAGCTTGGTGCATGCTTCCCAGTGAGAAGGAACAGGAGAATAAGTTTTGATATTTCAACCATCAAAAGCTAACACCCAACCATCAGAAACATGATGAGAATCCTTTTCTTGCTTATGAATACATCTAACAGCCACCTAACCATAACATAACTAGACTCAAGAGAACAGATTTTGCACATGAAGCATAGCGTAGCCAAAATAACCACGGTCAGCTCCAATTGAAACAAGATTCCTATGCCACAAATCATAAAAGAGACGTGATGCAGAATCAACATAGCAAAATTTAAAACGTTTTCCCTTTAGGCATTAGGTACCACAAACAACGTCCCACTTTTAACCGAGAAGAAACAGCATAACCAGGTCTACATTGATGGTTCAAACCCCCCCCCCCTCCCTGCAGGTTAAATCTATGAATCATAGTCCACACATGAGATCCTCTTTTATTTGCCCCATTAATACTTGTAAGAGTCTATCTTACAACATTGATATCAATTCGACAATTTCATAATAATAATTTAACATCAATTTGTTTTCAAATTTTAGTACTTTATCCACTATTGCATAACTACTTTGCTAGAGTTTTCTCAACCACTGCTTAAAATGACATTGTTAGGTTTAAAGCACCACAGAAGAGAATGCAGCAGAGTTCAGCTTGGAAAACCAGCACAATTGCCACTGAAACTTTCAAGAAGTTCATACTATAATGCAAAATAGGACTCCCCCTTTCTTCAAAGAGAAAATACTTTGGGAAAAACACGTCAAGCAAAAATTTCTTTTCCTGGTTCTGTTTTGGAAATTTTACTCACCATGTCACAAGTAAACATAAACATTGTCTAAAAGATTAAAACTTCCACAAAACCCTAACTTCAACTATCACCACCAACACAAAGGTAAAACCTTCAAAAGTAACCCTAATAAAGAAAAATTACCTCCATGAACAAACAAAATTACAGCACAAAACCTAATAAACACAAAATAATCAATAAATTCCCAAATTAAAACCAAAAATAGCCCAAAATTTCCAAGAAAAAAAAAAGATAAAATACTCAAGCAATATATAGAATTTAGAGGAACAAGCAAATTAATACATAAACAGACAACCAAATTAATAAAAATTAAGACTTTAAAAGAAAAAAAAAGTACCATTTTCTTCCAAGAAGCAGGTGCTGGAAGCTCAATAGAAATAACTTCCTCTTTACTCTCCATTTTTTTCACCTGCAAAAATAACAATTTTTTCTCTCAAAAAACAAAACAGAACAACCAACAACCCTTCTCTCTCTAAAATCTATTTTTCCTTAAAAAGGGTTTGCATTTTTTTTTTTCTTTTCTCTCTCTGTTTCTGAAATTTATGTGTTTTGTGTGGCAAGAAGAGTCACAAAACCGTTGAGTGTTTGGGATTTTGTTTTTTACTTTTTCTTCTTCTTTTTTTTCCAAAATCCAATGAGGAAGTGATCTAGTTACAGCATAAGGTACGGAGGATTTAGTTTAGACTTGAAATGGGAACCAATGCGAATGTGCCACGTGGTTTTCAAGATGATTTTCCGTCGTTTCGAGTTGTTTCGGTTCTCGTTAAGTTTGGCTTTAGGTTTGAAAGAAAACATTTACGCCTGATTTGAGGATGACACGCGTCTTGAATCGAGGTTGAACTCAGAGAGTACTGTTCGGTCCTCGTGCGTCCTGCGAATTTGATCCACGCCGTAACATAGCGCGTGGTTGTACGCTATCTTTGAAAACGATAGATTTTTTAAGTTGTCATCTTTTAACTTTAGTGAAAAATGGAAAGGTGGGTTGCAGTTGCACGTCTTTAAAATGCGAGTGATGGTGAGATGTCATACAAAGAGGATTTAACTGAATTGGAATGTCAATTTGGATCCGAACTCTGAACGTGACGGTTTTAATTACGGGGCGTTTACAGTTACAGTTTGTTTAACACTTTTTTTTTTTTGGTAAGTGTTAAAACTTTTTAACATAAAAAACCAACTCCCAACCAAAGCTTCCGCTTTGCAGTCAGTCTTTTACAAATATATATTTTTTTAAATTCCTACCGAAGTGTTGACTCTCTGTCCCACGCATAAATTCTTTGAAATTTATTAATTAAAAATATATTATATGTATAATTTATTTTGCACTTGAAATTTTTAAATGTCAATTTTTATAATATATTATTTGATTCAAATATCACAAAATCCACAGAAGCTATCCACGTGGCTTCTAAAGAGCAGTAGATGTGACCTTGTCGTTTAAAAACTATCATTGGGGTCAGATAATTAAGGGCAGACTCAATATTTTTGTTAGTGCTGACGACTGTGACACTTATACCGTGAATGAGATGTTAACGAATCCAAAATGAATTAATATTGCAATGTTTGTGATTTATTAGTATATTTTTAAAATTATTTAAATATAATTTTATTTAAATATTTGATTTAAAATATATTATTTAAATTTAACATAAATGAACATAAATTAATTTTTAAAAAATTGATTTTACAAAATAATTTAAGTGTTAAGACCTATAATAAAAAGTCATTGCATCATAAATTCATGATCAATGATGTAGACTTTCAAGAGTGAAAACAATATACCTATTTGTAAGTAGTCTCTTTCCTTTATATTAGTTTTCAAGCTAGTAAGATAGAAAGAACATAAAAAAAAATAAAAAAAAATCTCTTCATAGTTTTTTATTATCTATTTTTAAACGATTAAAAATTATATTTACAATAATAATTTTTAAAACATTATAAAATTTTTTTAATATATGTTAAATATATTTTTCAATGTATTATTTACAATAATAATTTTTAAAACATTATGAAAATTTTTAATATATGTTAAGTATATTTTTAATCTATTAAAATTAAATTGTGAATAAAATTTGGTTAAAATATATCTAATTATAAAGTAATCATATTAAAAAGAATAAAAACAAAATATTAATAAATATTTTTTTAATTTATATAAATATTAAACGAATTTATTTATGAACATAAACAAATGAAATGTATCTCTATTTGTAGTCAATTTATTTATTAAATGAATATTAAAATGTTATTTCAAATTATTTAATAAGTTTAATAAATAAATATAAACGAATAAAAATCAAGGACTAATGTAAGGGCTAAAAGTTAAAATCTCTTCACTATCTCATCAACTTTTGCTCTTGCGTTTTCTTTCTTTTTCTTTTTCTTACTTCATCTCTTTTTTTCTTTTAATTTTTAAATTTAAAATAATTAATTTAAGGGTCAAATTGGCAAAAAAAAAAAAAAAAACCACTTGAATTTGGAAACTTGTTCAATTATTTTTACTAATTAAAAAAATTATATAATATTGTTGCTATAATGTGTATAGGTCATAAAACCAACTTATTAAACATAATACATGGAGTTGCATTCAATCTTTTTTAATTAAATATAATTGATCACCTAAGTGAATTTATCTTTTTTAAAATTGTCCTAAGCATAAACTAAGGGTCTTTAAAAAAAATAAATTATAGTCTAAATCAACAAAACTGGATTCAGGAGTTTAGTTACATATAGCGAAGGTTATAGCACCCCTACAATGCCTATGAATTAATACTAATTAATCTTAAATTATCTTTTTAGCCTTAATTCAATGGTCTCTTACTTTTAATTCATTTTTATTAATTTATTGTTTTTGTTAATTTTAATATTTAAATATTAGACAATTTTAGGTTTTCTCTAATACTTTGGTTGATCCCCTAAAAATATTTCTTACCTCAAAGTATTCAAATAACACACTTGTTTTCTTAAAGAAGCTCTATCGTCGGATTTAATAAATATTTTATGAAATTAAATACATGATAATTTTATTTTATCGTTATTTATTGCTTATTTAATTTATTTTCTTTCTTTGTTCTTCTTCTTTGTTAAACTTTTATTTTTATTACCTAATCAGTTTTTCAATCCAAAAAAAAAAAAAGTTCAAATGACCAAATTCAATTAAGAACAAAGGTTGGTGATTTGGTGAAAAAGCTAGTTTATCATAAATAGATTTGGATTTAAATTGCTGAAGATAAATATTAAATTTTTTTATGATAATATGAAAGTTTTCTAAAGATGGAGTCATATTTGATCTGAAAATTTGTTGATTTTTTCCTATAAATAAACCTTTAATTCATTTCCAAGAAGAGACAAGAATCACACACGATAAAAGAGAGCAATGCATAATAAAAATGGAGAGAGTAATTAGTGGGAAAGAGCAAGAAACAATCGGTCTGGCAATAGGTTTTATTTGAAATTTGGTTAGTTTGTTAAGATGTTTGATTTAGTTCAAATTAGAGAAATCAAGGTTATCAAAGAATTTAGAAAGCTAAAAAAAATCATATTAGGATTTCTAGCATTTTTCCATTTTTTTAAATTTTTGTGAAAATTTTTAAAAATTTCAGAATCCGACGTACCTTTGGTGGCCATTTCCCAATTCCCAACAACAAACCAAAAAACAAACAACCTTTGTTGGTGATGTTGAAAACCTTGACAGTAATATTTGCAAAAGCTAGTTTGGTGATTTGGTGAAAAAGCTAGTTTATCATAAATAGATTTGGATTTAAATTGCTGAAGATAAATATTAAATTTTTTTATGATAATATGAAAGTTTTCTAAAGATGGAGTCACATTTGATCTGAAACTTTGTTGATTTTTCCCTATAAATGAACCTTTAATTCATTTCCAAGAAGAGACAAGAATCACACACGATAAAAGAGAGCAATGCATAATAAAAATGGAGAGAGTAATTAGTGGGAAAGAGCAAGAAACAATCGGTCTGGCAATAGGTTTTATTTGAAATTTGGTTAGTTTGTTAAGATGTTTGATTTAGTTCAAATTAGAGAAATCAAGGTTATCAAAAAATTTAGAAAGCTAAAAAAAATCATATTAGGATTTCTAGCATTTTTCCATTTTTTTAAATTTTTGTGAAAAATTTTAAAAATTTCAGAATCCGACGTACCTTTGGTGGCCATTTCCCAATTCCCAACAACAAACCAAAAAACAAACAACCTTTGTTGGTGATGTTGAAAACCTTGACAGTAATATTTGCAAAAGCTAGTTTGGTGATTTGGTGAAAAAGCTAGTTTATCATAAATAGATTTGGATTTAAATTGCTGAAGATAAATATTAAATTTTTTTATGATAGCATGAAAGTTTTCTAAAGATGGAGTCATATTTGATCTGAAACTTTGTTGATTTTTCCCTATAAATGAACCTTTAATTCATTTCCAAGAAGAGACAAGAATCACACAAGATAAAAGAGAGTAATGCATAATAAAAATGGAGAGAGTAATTAGTGGGAAAGAGCAAGAAACAATCGGTCTGGCAATAGGTTTTATTTGAAATTTGGTTAGTTTGTTAAGATGTTTGATTTAGTTCAAATTAGAAAAATCAAGGTTATCAAAGAATTTAGAAAGCTAAAAAAAATCATATTAGGATTTCTAGCATTTTTCCATTTTTATAAATTTTTGTGAAAATTTTTAAAAATTTCAGAATCCGACGTACCTTTGGTGGCCATTTCACAATTCCCAACAACAAACCAAAAAACAAACAACCTTTGTTGGTGATGTTGAAAACCTTGATAGTAATATTTGCAAAAGCTAGTTTGGTGATTTGGTGAAAAAGCTAGTTTATCATAAATAGATTTGGATTTAAATTGCTGAAGATAAATATTAAATTTTTTTATGATAATTTGAAAGTTTTCTAAAGATGGAGTCATATTTGATCTGAAACTTTGTTGATTTTTCCCTATAAATGAACCTTTAATTCATTTCCAAGAAGAGACAAGAATCACACACGATAAAAGAGAGCAATGCATAATAAAAATGGAGAGAGTAATTAGTGGGAAAGAGCAAGAAACAATCGGTCTGGCAATAGGTTTTATTTGAAATTTGGTTAGTTTGTTAAGATGTTTGATTTAGTTCAAATTAAAGAAATCAAGGTTATCAAAGAATTTAGAAAGCTAAAAAAATCATATTAGGATTTCTAGCATTTTTCCATTTTTTTAAATTTTTGTGAAAATTTTTAAAAATTTCAGAATCCGACGTACCTTTGGTGGCCATTTCCCAATTCCCAACAACAAACTAAAAAACAAACAACCTTTGTTGGTGATGTTGAAAACCTTGACAGTAATATTTGCAAAAGCTAGTTTGGTGATTTGGTGAAAAAGCTAGTTTATCATAAATAGATTTGGATTTAAATTGCTGAAGATAAATATTAAATTTTTTTATGATAGCATGAAAGTTTTCTAAAGATGGAGTCATATTTGATCTGAAACTTTGTTGATTTTCCCTATAAATGAACCTTTAATTCATTTCCAAGAAGAGACAAGAATCACACACGATAAAAGAGAGCAATGCATAATAAAAATGGAGAGAGTAATTAGTGGGAAAGAGCAAGAAACAATCGGTCTGGCAATAGGTTTTATTTGAAATTTGGTTAGTTTGTTAAGATGTTTAATTTAGTTCAAATTAGAGAAATCAAGGTTATCAAA